ATTTCTCAACCGATTTTCACTAAATTTGTTATAATCCTCAGGCATATGCTAATTAGCCCTCTGGACCAGCAGATATTCAGTCTGCACCTGATGGTGAAAACCGAGTTTAGCGCTGAACTCCAGTAGAAACACAATCTCACACACTTCAGCAAGTCCGTCAATGTGTGAATCACTCCTAATCTTATTACACATAAAAATATCACCCCCCCCAAAAAAGAAACACAGCAAGAAGGACGAATCTAATGTTGGCTTCCTATTCGCCAGCTTTTTGTTCAAGTTTTCCTGTTCCACCTCAAATGGTGCAGCATCCCACTTTCTGAGTGCAATATTCTTGAAATAGTACAATTTTGGACAGTATCTTTCTTAAACTGCTGCTCTGTAATGGTACTGAATGCAGTCCAGCAGCATGTTGACTGCCCTAAAATGGCGGCGCCGTTGACGTGCCTATCTGCACCCAACTGTACAGGCATCTATGTATGTATTTCTATGGTTGGCTCCCACTGACCGAACTGTTAGCTCGCTAAGCTAAAAGCACAGCCTCTCTTAGCTTGAAGCTAAAAACACACCTAGCTTTCCTCCTAAAGAAAACCCCACCACTCCAGTCGTACTAGTGCACTTCAAAAAAAAAATCCGTCTGAACTTAAAACACTCATTTTTTTTAACTGAACTACAGACAGTGGCATGTATTAACATTAATATTAATTACTATTTAATTACTTTAATTATTTTAATTTTTGAGTCAGTACAGGCGAGTCTCAAGTTGAGTCCCAAGTCAGTAGTCCTAATCTTCGAGTCCTAAATAAGTCAGTCTGCATTTTTCAGCTAATTTAAGGCTACAACACTGAATAAAGGTAACAGTAATACAGCCTTTTAATGCCAGCATGTTAGCAGTGTATGGCTGTATATTTGTTAATTTATTAATAAAAAAAAATTAATATATTTATCTGTCCTTTGAACAAAATCCATGGTACACAGATAACCACACTCTTAAAAAGGATGGTTGTTCAATCCTTTTTGAAAACAATTCTATATAGCATCCAAAGGGTCTTCTATTGTTATTCTTTGAGTGTTTATGGTTCTTTTTAGAACTATTTTCTTTACCAAAGAACCTATGAGGAACCATCCTTTTTAAGAGTGCCTGACAGACATACTGGTACACACAGAGTAGTGCACTACACATGAAGAGAATTTTACTATGAAGAAGAAAGTAAACTATAAAGAAGAAAGTATTATTGAACTTTATTAAATATATATATATACATATAAATAAATATAATATATATATTTATAAAATCATCAAAAATTATCCTCAAAACAAAAAAAAAATATATATATATATATATATATATAATTTTTTTTTTTTTGAGGATAATTTTTGATGATTTTTAGGAACACTGGACTAACTAAAAATAACGGCGTTTAAATTGAATTTAAACAACAGCAGAAACCAAAACGACAGAGCTGAACAAAGTTTACAGAACAGACAGCACAATGATAGTAAATCTACAAAGCTAAAGTTGACTTTTTTTCACCAGCAGCTTCTTATGGAGACGATCTTGAACTCTAAACGCTTCGCTTGTCTTCCAAAATAAAATAAGCCGAGAATAAGCACAGTGACAGACATCTGATGACGCTACTGTGTATTCAGTTTTACGGTAGGAAACGAATCCATTCACATGAAAAACAATCGACTGTGTAGAAGTCTTCAGTCAGACTCTTTCCACGTTTCTTCCACTTTCTCGAGTCTTACCAAGTCTTAATGTTGGAAGTCCGAGCCATTGGTGTTGAAGTCAAAGTCGAGACGCAAGTCTTTCTCGATTTCCTTGGACTCCAGTCCGACTCGAGTCACAAATCTGATGACTTTGGACTCGACTCGGACTGGATACCAGGTCATATGACTCAAGTCCACACCTCTATACTGCATGCTGCTTTTCTTAATAATGTTAATATTACTGATGGGACGTCCATTCAAAAGAGCATGTCTGGAAGTCAGGGCTGACTCTTGGCCAGTGACTCTGGGGGGGGGTCAAAATGCTTGGAGTCTTCAACTGTCTTGACTGTTTTAGTTGTGATTGCCTGAAGGGACATTCTGATGGAAGCATGTGTTGAGTTTGAGTAGCGCGAGTTTGTTTACCAGCTTTATGATAATCCAGCGCATTAAATTCTGATGGTAAGTTGTGTTGAAACATTATTCAGCCATAATCTTGTGTCAGTCTACCCAATATTACTTGGTACAGAATATGCATCATATCTCTATAATCTGCAGCTTCTCAAAAAATGGGGAACATTTATTATTTATAATAAAGTTTGGTTATCCAGTACGTATGTTAACTACAGGCTATAATGTATATACCATATATACACCATTACGTAGGGTGTTTTATACACTCATTTGGGGCCTGCAGACATGCGTGCATTTGTGAGAGTTTGCGGGTGGGTTCATACCCCTTTTCCTTTTCAAATGGTTTGTACCAAAACTATTTGAGTGCTACTTCTGCCCTCTGGTGGACAAACTGTTAAACTAAACTACAGATGCATGGATGTACATTTCCTACAATTCTTTAAACATCTAGGCTGTGGTTATATTTTAGAAATCAACAAAAATAAGTTACATCCTTAATTTTTTTTATGTTTTCCTAAAGGAAAACTAATGAAAACCTAAAAATGTAAAAAATATAATACTAAAATGGAATTTGTGAAAAAATATAACAGATTTCATAGGGCCTTAGTATTATCACAGTTTTCTTAAAATGTGCTGAAAATGTTCAGAAAGTACTGATAAACAAACTGAAATAATTTCTTTCATATAGAAAACTACAAATAAAAGTGCAAAAATTAGACAAAATTTGTGTTTTTAGATGCAGAAGTTAAGCTACCTGGTCCCACATTACCATGCATGACACCAGTTGCTTAAATGAGCTTGTAAGGAAGATGTGACTTTCCTGAGTGAGGATGCCAAGGATGCGGTAATTGCATCATTAAGGCAAGAGTCGAGTCTGCTTGTGCATGTTGTTTTCAAAAGGTTTTGGTATAATACACAATTTGTGTGTCATTACAGAATATCACAATAATGCTGAAGAGCCTAAATTAAATAGCAGTGTTTTCGATGGACTCGCGACCTGTCCAGGGTGTTTCCTTCTGACACTGGGATAGGCTACAGCATCCTCCGCGACCAGGAGGATAAGTGACTTAGATGGTAAGTTATAAGTGTTTTCCTATGTTCAGGCAGCCAAGTAGGCACATTGACTCAAGACTTCATAAGAGTTCAGCTATTTACTAAATGTCAGTACAAATAATGCTGTCACATTGTAATAACGCTGGAAAATCCATACAGAAGAAGGAAATAGCCAGGTTGAAACAGTCTTGTTTCAAGAATATGCATATGCAAATGAACACAGAATTCATTCTTAATGGGCATTCAGCTACCTCTGAGGCTGAGGCAAAAAAGTGACAGTGTTCTAACAGTTTATACCACCCCTCGAGTGGTCCTGCTGAGCATGTGTATGTCATTAATATAGTGTAGTAAGTCAGCATTTTAAACATTTTATTGTGTTTTTAATTGTCATCCAGTAACTAATAATTCAGACGTAGCTTAATATTACTACTTACTTCCTAATAAGCTTATTTATGCAGAGAAAATATCCTAATTATTCTTTTCATGTTAGTGACGTTTTCTGATAAGGACATTTGCCAGCTTCTTGCACGGATTTGGTGCAACATTTACATTCTGGCGCCTGAGGCATTCTAATAATAACTGCTACACTATTTAAAGTGGAAGAGGAAAATTAAAAAGAAGCCAACTTCAGATTTGTAGTTGTAATATTAGTAGTGTTATGCTATCACTGGTTTCCTCAGTATTTCTCCTGATACAAAACAAACCCACATTGCGTGCTGCGCATCTCCGTCTGGGACTTTTGCTAACTTTGGTTGATGCTGGGCAGTATTTAATTTGAGTTTTTCAATCAAATCACAGTAATCAAATGGTAATACTAACCTTGGGGAATTTCACTATTGTTTACTATGAAACCGGTAAGCGTTCCATCCATTCGACCCAAGCCGTGTGCCACACTACAGGACAGAGGTGCGACCAGATTGCCAGATCAGGCACTGAGCCAGTCAGAACAATTTCAAGACCTGCCTCATTTTCCTTAGCCTGCCAATCAGTGCTTAGTAATGCTTTTTTAGTAATGCTTTTTTCAGTGTCCGTTTACATTTTGGTCAAGATTTGTGTCTGTGTGACTTTTAAAGGACACCCCATATGATGAAAGGTGACGGGACGCTGTTTTTCCCATATTCAAAGCCAAAAATAAACTATAAAAGACACCAGCTTTGGATTGGTCTGGGTGTTAAACCTGTGTGATTTGCAGACACACTTGTTGCCCTACGTTTGTTAAAAGACAAGAAATTTCACTTTTGTTACAGTCATAATTGGTAACATGAGCTAGTTTGACTGACTAAGAAGCAGTGTGACTCAACATATAAGTTGTTTGGCTGAGACTAACTTCAGTAAGTTAGTATCTATTCATAGTATCTACCCAGTAATTTAACTTTATGGGGTAGATGAAGTAGGCAAACCCATCTCAAGACCAGCAGAGAGAGAGCTGGTATGGCTCTACAACAGGGGTACACAACTCCAGTCGTGAAGGGCCGGTGTCCAGCACGGTTTGGTGATTTACCTGCTCCAACACAACTGATTACACTTGTCTTTTATTTGCCAGGCTTAGTGGGTGTGTTTGAACGGGGGGAACCTCCGAACCGTGCTGGATTTTTCTATCACTCTGTATTATTCCTACTTTTTACATTTTGCTTGCGTTGTTAGGAATCAAACTTCAAGATGTATAGAATTACTTGTTAACACTGAGGTATTTTAAATAACTGCAGATAATAGCACAGCTACAGGTATCCTTGGTCTTAGTGGGCCCTATTTCTGTTTTGTAATGCCAGTATGTTGGCCACATTTTTATGAAGTTTTTTAGGGGAAAATCTTTAATTTTGTCCACCTATTTGGCCATCATATTCTTTTTTGTATTCTTCTCTGGTCTGAGCAGAATGATGTAACACTTTGGGGCAAATATACACAGTAGAAGGCCGTAACTAGAGGCCAGGATGGCAAAGACCTCCACTGCCACAGTGTACTTCCCTGGAGAGCTGACATATGCCGGCACAAAGGCAATCCACACTGCACAGAAGATCAGCATGCTGAAGGTGATGAATTTAGCCTCATTGAAATTATCTGGAAGCTTCCGGGCGAAGAAGGCCAGCAGGAAACAGATGGCAGCCAGCAGACCGATGTAGCCCAACACCAGGGAGAAGCCTATGACTGATCCCACTGCACAGAGTAGCACCACCCGGGCTCCAAGCTCACCTCCTGCACTTTCTGTGGGCAGAGGAGGTGCCAGCACCAGCCACAGCACACAGATTCCCACCTGCACAAGTGTACAGACAAAGATGCCTGCCCTCTGCTGAACAGGGCCAAAGTACCTCATTATGTTTGAGCCAGGCAGAGTCGCCCTGAAGGCAACCAGGACCACCACTGTCTTACTGAGAACACAGGCCAGGCACACCACAAAACTGATCCCAAACAGTGAATGGCGCAGCATGCAGGACCAAGGCGCTGGCTGGCCAATGAAAGCCAGTGCACACAGGAAGCAGAGTTTGAGTGACAGCAGCAGCAGGAAGCTCAGCTCCGAGTTGTTGGCGCGAACCAGGGGCGTATCTCGATGATAGAAGAAGGCAGTGAGGACAGTCCCTGTAAGTGTTGCCCCAGCTACTGACAGCACAGAGAGGATGATGCCCATGTCATCTTGAAAGGAGAGGAATTCAACTAACATTGGGATGCACTCTGTGCGGTCAGTGTTGGACCAGAACCGCTCTGGACATTTGGTGCACTCTGTGGAGTCTGGAGAGAAGCATGGTAAATACAGTTAAATTAATCAGCCACATAAAAATTTTTTTAGCTTTGGAGGTGTTTAGATGAGCCTGCCATATTTTGCATATGTCAAGAAATGTTTATTATTTGATGCTAAATTGTTGGACTGAGCTTTGGCTTGCTAATATTCCTTTACTTCTCACACACTGTTGCATTAAGGAAGGTCATATGAACACTATTATACCAACACTGGTGAGGTGGAGTATTACCACGAAAAAACAAATTTCAAGAAAAAAAGCATTCCAAGCATTGAATAATAAACGTAACTTGTATGCAGCATAGTTGTCAAGTACCACTAGCATTGCTGATCTCCCCTGTTGCACATTGTATACAGTCATAGCAGCAGACAGGTTTTCCTTTCTGCACAGCCTTCCTGGTCCCTGGGGGACAGCTCTCACTGCACACAGACACTGGCACCTGTATGATAGAAAGACAGCTCTCCATATTAACTTTGCAGAGACATTGTAGAGGAAAGGAAAAAGGGACATACTGCATCCTTTACCTTAAAATATGTAAACCAGACTATCTAGCAGTGTAATATAATGAATGTGTTACACAGGCTGGTAACAGAGGCTCATAACACTCAGATGTCTCTCACTCACTACACGGCATTATGGCATTATCTGTCTATTTCCCCCACAGAGATGGGAAGTTCAAACTACTATTTCAGTGCAAATGTTTTGTAATTCCAAATTTGTGCCTTTGTGCTCTCACCTTGTCACTCCAGCTTCCTCCCCACACCACTTTACTAAGGTCCAGTTGAAAGTCTTGCTGTGGTCCTCTTGCTGCATCAAACTGCCCCACTTTGACAAACTCCACTTTCCCCTCAGCCCCCATGTGCCAGTTAATGATGTCGTATGAGGCAGATGGATCACCATTGTTGTTGAAATGTACTAGCTCGCCCACTGGTGTTGTGAACTTTACTGTCTTTAGGTAGTGCAGAAGCTGCCAACAAAAGTAAATGTATTCAAAGTGTCCTTACAATTACACAATGTAACTTAAACACCAGGCTTGAGCCTCCAGAAATCTAATTTTCTTTTGATTGTCCATACTTCATATATGTTAGGAAAAAGAAAAAAGTTTTCAGCCAGTGTTTTTTCTTTACCTGTTCAGGTCTTATGGGGTTGATATCAGGACACTCTCCATCCTTGAAGGGCCCTTTGCCAGGCTGACAGTCCAGCATGTCCTGAATAGCATTTGCAATAGCATACACAGCTTTATATACGTTATACATAACATCGAAGTATGCTTCTCCTTGTACTTCCACTTTTTCCAAGCCTGTGCAGTGTGGTCCAGAATACATTTCCTCCCCAAATTTGCACCCAAACACCTCCTCCCAAACATTCTGTACCAGCTGCTCCTTTGTGTGCTCCTCTGGACTCAGCTGAGTCAGATATGAGCCCAAACCCTGGATATCAACCCTTCGCAGGGCAAAGCCAAGGGTGCCTGCCAAAGAGATGCCGCTCCATGAAGAATAGTGGGTGGAGGTGCTCCAGGCTTCAGTGGCAATCCACTGCCTGTCAGTCACATTCTGCCTCACCACTTCCTTTAGCAAGACTTCCATATCTGGGCTGATGGCGAAGGTCGCCACAATCTGAGCCTTGGAGCTCTGTATTCTCTCCACAATTCGCTTAATTCTGCCCAGTGCATGGGATTTGGGAATGACCTCAATGTAGTCCACGCAAACACCTGATCCTTCCAGTTCCTGTATCAACAGCTGCACGCCACTTTTCCCATATGCATCATCTCCATAAACAACCCCCACCCAGGACCAGTCCATCTGCCGTAGCAGGCGGGCCATGGCTTTAGCCTGGAAGGCATCACTAGGAACTGTGCGTAAGAAGGTGGGGTACCTGGTGCGGTCACTGAGACATGCACAGGAAGCAAAGTAACTAACCTGGAGATGTGGAGCACAGAAATAGAAAGTGAATAATAATGCGAAATTTAACAAATGGGGATTAAACACTACATATATCATTGTTCAAACAGGAGTAGTATTGTTATGGTATGGAAGTCTTACCATGGGGATGCCAAAAACACCCAGTGTATCAGCCACCACTATAGAGGCTGAGGAACGGGCATCGCCAATGATGACGGGCACGTTGGGAGCCTTGGTACACTGTTCTGTCACAGCCTCCTCTTGTCCTGTCACTATCGACAGCGCGGCACTCAGGGTGCTACCCTCACTCAGGCAGGTGTCTGTTGCCAGGTAGCCAAGTGTGAGGTTAGGCAACAGTACTGGGTTCCGGTTGATTTCCTCCACAGTGAAAATCATGGTTTGAAGCCAGCGATATGAGCGCAATTCAACACTGAGACAGAGAGAGAGAGATGTTCAGAGGATTGTTAATGAAACACCAAATAAAACATAATTAAAAGGAAGATAGAAACTCAGGATGTTTTTGTGATATGTTGAAATCAGATATTAGAAATTCACTTTAAATTTTCAGTGAAAATATATTTATAGATTTGTCTGATTTCCAAGACTTCTGCACATTTCTTGCCGTGATGAAAGTTTTATTATACTCACCTTCGACAGCGGCCGGCCTGTATTCGTTGTGTGAATGTGTGGTCAGGTTCAGGGGCTTCAATGTGAACAGGAAATAGACCCCCAATAATCACATCTCCCTCCTTATACAGGCTCCCTGAGATGGACCTGCTCTGGAAAGCACAGTAAAGTCCCAGAGAGCGCACCCAGATTGGCCCAGCCAGGAGCCCCAGTGCCCACAGCCATGCATCTACAGCCATCGGTTGACGAGGAAGGGAGAGAGATAGTGAGTGAATGGAAGAGGACTGCAGGGCCTAACATATGCAGACAGCGAGAGGAGGACCCTGTTTAGTAGAGGTAAAATTGCCCAGAGCAAAAATCATTTGGGGCAATTGAGGGAAGTCCTGGTGGATCTAGAGTAATTTTCTGGCTCACAAAAAAAAGAAAAAACAACTGAACAAAGTGTTATTTTATGTACTCTTACTTTATATAGCAGTGAGTAGCATAAACATCTGTTTAATCATTTTCACAAAGCATTTATTTGCCTTCTTAGTTACGGTGAGTGTATTGAGTTTATAATTATTTGTGCTTCTGTACGTTTCTAGAATGTCAGTTTAATGCATGAATTGCATTATCTCATTAAGAGTTCCACACACCAATATATGGGCTGTGTGTATGTCACTATGTTTTTGTTCAGTGAGAGTGCTCCTTTGTCTGTTGATCCCACAGGGAAAATAGGGACAATTAAACCAAATTAAGCAATTACTGTGACATCAGGGTTAATTGCTGTTTTTCCAGGGAACATTTTTTTTAGCTTTGTTTTTACCTTCAGTTCTTTTGCAGTTTGACTTTGAAGGGCAGTCCAAGGCCAGAGTTTCCCAGTCCTGGATTCTTCCCATTCTGCAATTTTTTTCTAATTTAAATATTGCTTGCATAACCTTATTTAATGTTCAGCATTGATATTATATAATAAAATATGCTTTATTAATGTGTGTAAGAAGCCCTTTGAGAAGATAGAGGTTGTGCTTTTGGTCACAAGTATGTCTTTTATAAATAATCCTAGAATAACCACTGATGATGCTACAAAGTTAAATTTCTCAGTGGTCATCTACTTAATTGTTTGAAGTAATTTTCAGCAATGTAGAAAAGCCAATCAGAAACTCTCAGTAAACTAATCAAAAGAGGGAGTAGTTTGAGCATGTTATAGATGATGGGCCACTGCATTTTTTACCTGCATGTCTGTTGTTAGCACTTTCTAAAGAAAAGTTATATTCTGTGCCAGTTTCTTTACCAGCTTTACCAGTAAGGATTATATAATGTACTTAAAATGAGTGCCAAACCTTTCAACAATATGTTTTGAATGATCAGCATTTTGTTAATGTTACAAAGGATGGAGTATAGGGCGGCACGGTGGCGCAGTGGGTAGCGCTGTCGCCTCACAGCAAGAATGGCCTGGGTTCAATTCCCGGCCGGGTGACCAGGGTCCTTTCTGTGTGGAGTTTTCCTGTTCTCCCCGTGTCTGCGTGGGTTTCCTCCGGGTACTCCAGTTTCCTCCCACAGTCCAAAAACATGCAGTCAGGCCGATTGGACATGCTAGATTGCCCCTAGGTGTGTGTGTGTGTGAATGTGTATGTCTGTCTGTTTGCCCTGTGATGGACTGGCGACCTGTCCAGGGTGTATCCTGCCTTCCGCCCAATGACAGCTGGGATAGGCTCCAGCACCCCACCGCGACCCAGAAGGATAAGCAGTTTAGATGATGGATGGATGGATGGAGTATACTAGCTATACATCATGTGCAGGTCCACAGGCAAGATCTGCAAAAGAGGGAAAAGTTTAAAATTAGAACTTCCAATGCTGGAACAAAGAACACCCTAGAAAGAAAATAGAAAAACACAATTCAGTGCTATACTTACGTAATTTTGCAATACAGAAACACCAGCAGGGCTGTGGTGATGCAACACTGGGGAGCTGGCTTGCCACAGACTTTCCAGCATGGGCATATAGACACTGGGCTGGGGCCTGAGAAGGAAGCTCAGCAGGCTGCAAGGATGGATGCATAGGCCCTGTGAAGCATGATTAGCAGCAAAGCAGGCTGCAGGAGGATCGGGCCAATAGCATTAAAGACAGCAGATGAGTGAAAAACAAGAACTCCAGACATGGTGGTAAGAGGACACGGCAGTATTTGAGGCGGGTGGTGCAGATGGAAAAAAGAATAAAGAAATAAGTGTTGAAACAGAACGGATTCCCAAGTGGGCACTCTTTTAGATCTGTGCAAGACATCTGCAGAGGAGGATTCGACCCTTTCTCACTCGAGAGGCCACCCAGGTGCTAGTTCAGTCTCTTGTCATCCCAAGGCTTGACTACTGCAGCTCGCTCTTGGCTGGTCATTCTATGCAAACCATCAAGCCTCTGCAACTCATCCAGAATGCAGCACCACTGCTTGTCTTCAATCTTCCTGAGTTCAGTCATGTCACTCCACTGCTGCGCTCCCTTCATTGGCTTCCTATAGCTGCACACATCAGATTTAAAACCTTGATGCTTGCTTACAAAGCCAAAAACGGAGCAGTCCTTCCATACCTGATGGCAAAGGTCAAAAGTCGAACTGTACCTTGAGCCCTTTGTGCTTCAAGCACAGCTCCGCTCAACCCGCCATCTTTCAAGATGTGTGGAAGACAAGCATCAAGACTCTTCTCTGTCCTGGCACCCAGGTGGTGGAACGAACTCCCACTAGCTGTCCGTACAGCAGAGACTCTCGTGGTCCTCAAACGCAGACTGAAGACACATCTCTTTATACAGCACTTAAGTGAGCACTGAGTTAAGTATTTATTGTAATGTATTGTACTGCGCTTATTGAAATGTATTTGCAATGTGCTGTGTTTAATTCTGTTCCTTTTTCTCTGGATATCAACAAGGGCTTTTGTTTCTAGCAATATCTGAGCTCTGGACTAGTTTAACCTATTTGTAACTAGCAAAGATACTTTCTCTAGGTAGACAAAGCACTTTTTGTAAGTCCCTCTGGATAAGAGTGTCTGCTGAATGCTATAAATGTAAATGTGTGACTTGGCCAATATTGAATTCCGCCCTTAAGACATACGTTGCTGTTGGTTTTGGTGCATTGAAGAGGCTACAAACCTTGTTAGCAGCACACAGGGGGCTGGAGACACTGGAGCCACCACTAGTAAACAAGTGCTGTTAGATCAGATGACAGTGCTGATAAGGGGCTGGAATAGCTGGGACTGGCAAATGACTTTCCAGTAAGGGAGATAAATGAATGACTTCAGTGTGACAAGGTGATTGAGATTGGACTGGAACAGGCTTTTCCCCAGATTTTGACTCAGAGACTCGATTCAGCTGGCTGGCCTTTGTTTTGCTGCTGTCTTTCCCAGTCCAGGAGCTGAGAGAACAGCTTGAACCATAGCATTGGCATTGCTTACACCCCATTTGTTTAAAAAGTGAAAGTATTCTATCCAATCCAAAGGTGTATTTTCTTGCACACCACATGCAGACCTACTCCTTCTGTGTCAAATCGGCACATTGTTGCATCAGCATTGTAAACAAAAACCCTTCTACTCTGCTGACTGAGCTTTGCTTCTTGATCAGATATCTTTCACACTGAGAGATGGAGGTCCCACTTAAAAATAGGCTTTACTTCATTTTGCATTACTTTCAACTGAATTCTAGAGTGGTTTGTTGGCAGACAAAGCATGTGAATGTTTGGCTGTGACTGGTAAATGTACAAATACTTCCCAGTTTGTATTGTGTGTTGAAAACTGGCCAGTGTTTTTTCAGTTGCAATTCGGAGCCAGTCTGTTTTTGTAGTTCCTTGCTTGTTTCCTTTCTGGTGTTAGGTTAGCTTGTGTCATTATGTTGGTAATCTGCTAAGAATGCAGTGATTTGCATGTCACTGCATTGTGTGTCCTGACTTTGTCATTTGTTCAAAATGTTATTGATTTTGTCTGAAAGCAAATGACGTATATTTAGTTGATATTCATTTAGGAACTGCTTGTAGTGTTGCCTCATCTCATGTTGTAATGTGTGTTTATTGCTATGCAGTGTGTTTTTAGTGGTGTATCTGGAATTATTGGAGTTTGAGTTAGAATGAATACATTATTAACAGGTATGATTAAGCATGCGGCAGCAGTATTGAGTTAACCTAGCTCATCTAAAACTGTGTGAGTGTGACCTTGTCCTAAACGCAGAGTTTGATTATCGCTGGACTGATCATCCTCATAGACTTTACACTGATATTCTAGTGAAGAAAAATAACTGACAAGCTGACATAACCTAGAATAAATGCATTTTGTCTTCTCTCTGTTTGTATTTTTTAATCACTTGTGAACACTTCAAGAAAGAGCTTTTATTTTGGCTGATTTTCTAAGATGAACTGTATAATATCTTAAATCAGTAAACCACAAGAGGTCATGAATTACAATGATACAGTAGTTAACCCCTTAAAACAACTAACATGCAGCGTTGATTGGTTTGTTTCTTTTGCAAAATGGTGACAGATTACAGTGATAATAATAATTACAGTAGATAGGCGTATATTTGATGTTCAGTGTTATTTTTGATATTCAGTGTTATTTTTTTCTTATTAATGAATAAAATAATTCAGTCAGTTTTATTTCGCTAGTAATTGTGTCAAAAGAGATTATATACATGATATGAACTTACAAAAACCACTTTCTAAGAAATACGACAGAAGTTTACATGAAGTTAGGAAATAACTTTTTACCCTTGCATCTGTGCTGAGGGTGAGATTATAAATGTCACACATCACCCACATCAGTGCCGGTGCATTCAATTCTGACTATGAAAATAGCCCGATTAAACTAGCATTATACTAGCCTTTTCACTAAGCTCTGCTTGCACCTCCTCAACAACAGCCTTCTAGGTTTTGTATGTGAACTTTGTAATTGTAAGATCCATTTATTGTAATGGTCATTCTTAGTGGCGTTCACATGTTTATATAAAGTTATGACAATTTATGTATGCGCGCTATTTGCTGTGCATTGTAAAAATGGCTGTGAATTGATACAAGTAAAGTTAGCAATTTTGCCTCTGCAGTAGACCTGTTTTATTGGCCGGCATGTACTTATTTCATTGATGAGACCCAAGTTCGTTACTGGTCTTTGGCCTGGAATTTCTGCGTGCTGATTTGTTGTAACCATAGTAAGAGTCTTTCATGAAGTCAGTTCATGTGAAATCTGTCCTGCAGATGGCAGTGCTAGACCTGGTCTTGCACCGACTATTCATCCAAAGTCTGAATCTGAGACTCACATGAGTCTCTAACTCCTGCAAAATGCTATTGGCAGAAGTGGTGTACTTAATGTACTACAGAAAACATGCACTGCTTTATGTTTTTTTACAGTTGGCAAACTAAATCAAATACAGTATGTAAAGAGATGCACAAAATCTGTCTTGCTTTGAAGCAAATTCTGCATGTGTTTTCCCTGGAGACTTACATGAGCATGAGTCATTTTTTAATGAAATAGCAGCTTTTCGAGCATTAATAGGTGAGTTAGTTGATCAGTTCATCAGAGCCTTCTTTTAAAAGATTTCCCAGTGTAATAGACTGCACAGATATACATAGTGACTATTTTCTATGGCCCGTCCCCCTTGGTTACTGTTGCTGCCACACCAAGCTCTCAAGCCATGGTGGTTTCAGTAGCAAAGGAAGACTGTTTAGCCCAGAAAAGTCTGTTTTGTCGCAGTATATACATTTTTTCACAAAGGACCGACCAGAAGGACTGCAGCATGCTTTTGAAAGCTGTGTACATAATGTGATTTTTTGTTGGCCTAACGACACTAAAAGAGACGCTAAAGAGGGAGGCCAATGGCTAGTCACAGTAAAAAGTCACAGTAAAAAGTAAAAATGTGTAATCATTCACGAAATTCAGAGCTTTGTTTGATACGATACGTCTTGATTCGATGCTTTTTTCGATACAGCAAAAATAACGAGTGGCAAAAAATGTTGATTTGTTAATGTTTCCATTTCCATTTTATTAAGAGTTTACAGTAGATGTTTTATCACGATCTGAAGCTTTAGTCTTAAGCTAATATGTTAGTCCCCAGCTAAAACTCTAGCCACAATCTAGCATGCTAGTCATGATTCAGCGAAACAGTACAACACGCTGCAGTACAATTTGATGCAATCTAAGCTGTATTGTTACATCTGTACTATTTAAATAGGTTATAGTCCTAACCATTGATCGGGGGGTGAAGATGGGGGCTAACAAATTATGTAGAGAAGCAGATAGGCTATATAATTGAGAACAGTAGTCCTGGGGCAACATTCAGAGGCAGAGTGGAGGTCATTAATGATAGAACGTCCTTTTTTAGGGTCTGTTTTTTATGGAATAAAGCCAGTAACCTCAGTGGAAGACCAGTGGATGATTTCTGGCATACCTAGTCTGCAGGTGTGTGCATGTGGGCAGTTTGGTGCACATGATATGCTTGTCAGGACTGTGGAATCTGGACATAAAATAATACTAGTTAAAAAAAACTACTTGAATTGAATAGTATTTACAGTTATATAAAGTTTTTTTTCCTCTTTTTTTAAACCATAAAAACTCTTTTACATACAGTGCCTGAATCTTTAACCATAGATAACAGGATTTAAACTAGCATTGTTAGTCATATACTCTTTACTGATAGCTGATAGTCTATACATGGACTAAATACTTTTTATTTTTCTTTTATTTTCTTTTTATTCTTTTGATAATGCTTCCATAATCTGTTTTCCTTCTATAAACTTTTTCTGTAAAGCTGCTTTGAGACAACACTGGTTGTAAAAAGTGCCTTACAAATAAAGGTGTTTCAGGATATGTTGTTTTGTAAATGCAGGCAATTCAGTCATGAAACATTAGTGTACACACATATGGGTGCTCATTCGACATAACACACACCCCGTGAGGATTTTGCAGGCATGTTCAGAGTCTGCTTTATTCAATGTATAATCCTGCTTCTTCTCATTGTTCATGTAGCTCATTTCTTTCACAGCATGGCAATGTGGAAGTGTTTGGACTATGTTAGTTTAAAACAAACTGTTTAAAACAAATGTTTACTTACTTTCTTACATAATTTGTTACGGTATACATAATAAAGAAAGGTGAACTTGCTTTCTTTTTATTTTTGACATTGCTTTTTTATGATAAAGAATTTTGTTTTCATGCCCATATTGGTTAGAAAACAAATTCAAAGTACTTGATAGCCTTATGTTTTTTTTTTTAAATCATTTTACACAAAAGCACTAAAGAAATTATATATATAATATAACATTCAGAGAAATCCACACTGTAACCCTCTGAGATGCTTTCTGTTTATAAACCTGTGTTTTTATGAAGTCTCTTCAGTAAAGTGTTATGTTTTATTGACCTATTTGGCCATCATATTCTTTTTTGTATTCCTTTCTGGTCGGAGTAAGATTATGTAACACTTTGGGGCAAATATACACAGTAGAAGGCCGTAACTGGAGGCCAGGATGGCAAAGACCTCCACAGCCACAGTGTACTTCCCTGGAGAGCTGATGTATGCTGGCACAAAGGCGATCCACACTGCACAGAAGATCAGCATGCTGAAGGTGATGAATTTGGCCTCATTGAAATTATCTGGAAGCTTCCGTGCGAAGAAGGCCAGCAGGAAACAGATGGCAGCCAGCAGACCGATGTAGCCCAGCACCAGGGAGAAGCCTATGACTGATCCCACTGCACAGAGCAGCACCACCCGAGCTCCACGCTCACCTCCTGCACTTTCTGTGGGCAGAGGAGGTGCCAGCACCAGCCACAGCACACAGATTCCCACCTGCACCAGTGTACAGAAGAAGATACCTGCCCTCTGCTGAACAGGGCCAAAGTACTTCATTACATCTGAGCCAGGCAGAGTCGCCCTGAAGGCAAAAAGGACCACCACTGTCTTACTGAGAACACAGGCCAGGCACACCACAAAAGTAATCCCAAATAGTGTATGGCGCAGCATGCAGGACCAAGGCGCTGGTCGGCCAATGAAAGCCAGTGCGCACAGGAAGCAGAGTTTGAGTGACAGCAGCAGCAGGAAGCTCAGCTCTGAGTTGTTGGCGCGGACGAAGACAGTCCCTGTAAGTGTTGCCCCAGCTACTGACAGCACAGAGAGGATGATGCCCATGTCATCTTGAAAGGAGAGGAATTCAACTAACATTGGGATGCACTCTGTGCGGTCAGTGTTGGACCAGAACCGTTTTGGACACTTAATGCACTCTGTGGAGTCTGAAGAGGAACACAGTAAAAAGAACGAATATCGTTAGTAAGGGAAGCACAGTGACATTTCAGCTTTGCAGATGTTTGGCGTGAGGTCATTTTTTTGTTTTGGTCAGGAGGCAGTTTTTTGGGTTGACATTTAGCTTGCTGTTAAAACAGTATCTATGAATACATTTTGATCATTTGTTCGAATCCCCAAGAAGGATTAAATATTAAAGTAGTGCTGGTGAACAGATTGTTCAGAAAGGGAATGATGCTTGGTGAAGTTCAACATTTTGAGCGTTGAACAATTAATATATTCTGTATTCAGCATGATTATACTGTACCAGTAGCATTGCTGATCTCCCCTGCTGCACATGGTATGCAGTCATAGCAGCAGACAGGCTTTCCTTTTTGCACAGCCTTCCTGGTTCCCAAGGGACAGCTCTCACTGCACACAGACACGGGCACCTGTACAGAAATGTTTAGGGGAAAAGGGAAATGTTGTGTTCTTTTCCTTATACATTAGCCACATATGAGATTTTCTTATTCCTTTTTAAGATAAGTGTAAGATACATAAATGCACACACATGCTTGTAAAACAGCCTTTTAGTCTATTCCCCCCACTTAGTACCTTAAGATACTATTTCCCACAGAGTCAGTAATACGTTTTACAAATTCACACAAAGTACCAGTTCAGTATAAACCCTTCTTTTGTTATATTAGTTGCTGTTAGGCCCTCTTCATGACCATCCATAGCACAGCTCTGTGTTTATTGTCTACGAAAAATGTGTCTGGATAAATATTAGGCAAGAAAGACTAAGTGACATCATTGAGGTCCCAAGCATTTTTGTCACTTTATCTCATCTTTAAAGGGAAATGTATCACACCGATTCAGCCAGACCATTCTTACCTTGTCACCCCAGCCTCCTCCCCAGATCACTTTCTTTAGGTCCAACTGCAAGTCTTGGTCTGGTGCTCTTGCTTCGTCAAACTGCCCCACTTTTACAAAATCTAATTTTCCTTCAGATCCTATATGCCAGTTAATGATGTCATATGAGGCGGGTGGATCCCCGTTTTTGTCGAAGTAGACAAGCTCACCTACTGGTGTTGTGAACTGTACTGCCTTTAGGTAGTGCAGAAGCTGAAAACAAAATACAGTTACACAGTGTAACCTTAAAATTAATTAAATCCGTAGAAAAACATTTTTTTCTTTGCCTATATATGTATTTTAGTATGAAAACAAAAAAGTGTTTTGCCCTGTCTGTGGAGCTTTTCTTTACCTGTTCAGGATTTATTGGCTTGATATCAGGACACCTTCCATCCTTGAAGGGCCCTTTTCCAGGCTGACAGTCCAGCATGTCCTGAATAGCATTTGCAATAGCATACACAGCTTTATACACATTGTACATGCCATCAAACATGGCCTCCTGTACTTGTATCTGCATTTTCTCCAAGCCTGTGCATTGTGGTTGTGGAGGTCCTGACTGGATTTCCTCTCCAAATCTGCACCCAAACAGTTCCTCCCAAACGTTCTGTACCAGCTGCTCCTTTGGGAGCTCCTCTGGGCTCAGCTGCATTAGATAAGAGCTCAAACCTTTGACTTCAATGCTTCGTAGAGCTAAGCCAATGGTGCCTGCTAAGGAGTGGCCACTCCATAGAGAGAAGTAACCCGACGTGCTCCAGGCTGTTGTGGCAATCCACTGCCTATTTGTTACATTTTGCTTCACCACTTCCCTCAGTAAGACCTCCGTATCTGGGCTGATGGCAAAGATCACCACCACCTGAGCCTTGGAGATCTGTATTCTCTCTACAATTCGCCTGATCCTGCTTAGTGTGTAGGATTTGGGAATGACCTCTAAGTAGTCTATGCACACATCTGAGCCCTCCAATTCCTGCTGCAACAGCTGCACACTACTTTCCCCATAGGCGTCATCTCCATAGACAACTCCCACCCAGGACCACCCCATGAGGCGTAGCAGGCGTGCCATGACTTTAGCTTGGAAGGCATTGCTGGGAACTGTGCGCAAGAAAGTGGGGAATCTTTTACGGTCACTGAGACATGCACAGGAAGCATAGTAGCTGACCTGGTTGCAAAGAACACAGAGAATCATGAGAGCAGAGTCCTAGAAATCACATTTTATCAGTTAGTATTAATATCTTTTCCTTTTAACATCATTTTGTGGTAAATAGTGTATTGTTACAGATAATATTATTGAATAAATTTAAGAAATAAACCCTTTACCATGGGGATACCAAAAACTCCCAGTGTATCAGCTACCACTATGGAAGCAGAGGAACGGGCATCACCAATAATGACAGGCACAGTGGGGGCCCTGGAACACTGTTCTCCAGAAATGGCCTCCTCCTGCCCCGACACTAGTGACAGTGCAGTACTCAGGGTGGTCCCCTCACTCAGGCAGGTGTCTGCTGCCAGGTAGCCGAGTGTGAAGTTGGGCAAAAGGACCGGGTCCCGATTGATTTCCTCCACAGTGAAGATCATGGTCTGAAGCCAGTGATATGAGCGTAGATCAACACTGAGACAGAGATTGAGATGTTTGTAGTAGTGTTTATGGTCGGGGAAAACTTGGGTAAACTCAGCAAATAAAAGTGGAACAAAAGAGAAAAAAAAGGAAAATCTCACACATTTTTTGTGACATGTTGGAATCCATTATTCTCCACAATTGCAAAACTGTAGAATCACCCAAAAGATAAAACAAATACATACAATTTTTTGATTCTTACACATATTTTGCCTTAAGAGAAGTCATACTATACTCACCTTTGACAACGACCTCTTTGTCTTTGAGTGAATACATAATCGGGTGCAGGAGCTATAGTGTGAACAGGAAACAGACCTCCAAGAATCACATCTCCTTCCTTATACAGGCTCCCTGAGATGGACCTGCTCTGAAGAGTACATGAGAGTCCCAGAGAGTGCACCCAGACAGGCCCAGCCAAGAGTCCCAGTGCCCACAGCCATGCATCCACAGCCATTACCTGAAAGGAGAGAGACAGAGAGAGAGACAGAGGGAGTGAAAAGAGGCAGAAAGCAGGACCTCACATATGCACAGAGAGAGAGAGAGAGAGGAGGACCCTGTTTAATAGAGGTAATTTTGCCGCGAGCGAAAAGCATTTGTGGTAATTGGGAAACTCCTGGTGGATCTAGAGCAATTTTCTGGCCCACAAAAAAAACAACTAAATAAAGTGTTATTTAATATGCTCTAATGTCAAACAAGGGTTAGTGAACATATGTACACCGATCAGGCATAACATTATGACCACCTCCTTGTTTCTATGCTCATTGTCCATTTTGATCACCTCTTACTATATAGGTGCACTTTGTAGTTCTACAGTTACAGACTGTAGTCCATCTGTTTCTCTGCATACTTTGTTAGCCCTCTTTTACCTTGTTCTTCCGTGGTCAAGACCCCTGTGGACCCTCACAGAGCAGGTACTATTTGGGTGGTGGGCTATTCTCAGCACTGCAGTAATACTGATGTGGTGGTGTGTTAGTGTGTGTTGCGCTGGTCTGAGTGGATCAGACACAGCAGTGCTGCTGGAGTTTTTAAACACTGTGTCCACTCACTGTCCACTCTATTAGACACTCCTACCTTGTCAGTCCACCTTGTAGATGTAAAGTCAGAGACGATAGCTCATCTGCTGCTGCACAGTTTGTGCTGGTCATCCTCTAGTCCTTCATCAGTGGTCACAGGACGCTGTTGGCTGGATATTTTTGGATCTGTGTCTGACTGTTGTGTGTTTAAAAACTAAATAGATAATAAATAAATAAATAAATAAATACTGATACACAAACTGAAATTTGTTTCACCAACTTTTATATTAACACAAATAGAATTGGCAGCAATATGCACTTTTTGTTTGCATAAACATTAAAAAAATATAGTCAATACATTTGCAATACTACTTTTGTATTACTTATAATACTCTGTAAACAAAAGAATAACAAATGTATTATTATTACTGTTATTACTATTATTATTATTATTATTATTATTACGGTTGTAAATTATTATTATTATTATTATTATTGTTGTAGTTGTTATTATTACCATTATTATTATTATTATTATTATTAATTACAATAATTAGGGATTTCCCTGCATAGAGAATTAAATCTCGACCAACTCTGAGGTGGGTCTTAATGGAAAATTACTACTTCTAAGAAGTGCTGCACTCGGGGGATTTCTGTCCGAACTGTAATTGCAGCATTATTGTGCCGTTGTGGCGCTGAACCCCTAATCAACACAGTGCACCAGGAAAAACAGCCAAAATCACAGAGGAACTGCGTGACCGCGCTGTGAGCTGCAGACAGTGTAGAACTCACACAGCGTGTCTTCACCTGTGGAGCTGCTTCTCTAAAAGCATTTTAAAACTAAAACATAACTTAAAATTAACATGCATCTCAGCTGTGGCAGCAACACTCCTACAGTTTAATCTCTGAAACTCTGCTTTTCCTAAAAGCAGCACACATCGTTTACTCGCGAGGTCCTGTCTCAAAGCACACTATCTTCCCTATGTAGTGCACTTAGTGGATCATGAAATAGCAAATCCTTCACCCAAAGAGTGCAGGAAACGTTCGACTAAGTCATCTATAATCAACATTAACAACAGGTTACAAAGTCCCTATTTAAAACTCAACTGCTTGTTAATGATGGTCATGTTTGTTTGAACAGTAGCGCACTATGTAGGGGACACTGAGTGATTTGAGACGGTGTTATTCTCTTCTCAGAAAGTAAACACTACAAGCGAGACGAGAAAGGGGAGCTGTGCAGATTGAACTTTTGCAGCGTCTCGTTCCAGAGCTTGTGTGACTGTTAACTAAGAGCTCATTTTGGAGACTCTGCTCCACAGAAATATGTGTTAAAAGCTTTAGTTTCGATTCACAGTTGATTCACCGATTGTTTGACGCTAAAAGCTTCATTTTATATTATTAATGAACCATAAGCATAAGTTAAACCACACAAACCATGACATTTCTTCTATTTTGAAGTCCCCACAGACTTCTCCGTTAAAGTTAACCTTGCATTCTCTAAAAAGTAGCGGGTGGTGGTTGCGAAGATGACTCGTAAGGTTTGATGTGTTGCCCCCTTTCACCGCTATTTTCTTTTCGCCTGTTCTGCAGACAGGGTGGTCATCTTCAATTAACTTTCCTTCTGCATTCTTATAAAACCCGAAATATGACCAAACGTCAGACTTGGTCTTCTTAGAAGGCTGAAATATGTCCACATCTCTGTCACTACATTCCGCCATGTTCTCCCTTCTCTCCCTCTCACTCTCTCCTCCCCCCCCTCCCCTCTACACACACACAGAGCTGCATCTGAGAGATGATTCTGCCTTTGTTTGACTCTGTACAGCGAGTTTTTCACACTGCGGTAATCAACCGCGGTTTTAACGATACTTTAAAGTTCAAACGGTACAACTAACCGTCATTAATTTTACCGCGGTTTACCATGAAACCGGTCACTGTTTCATCTCTAATATATGTGTATATATATATATATAATATAGATATATATATATATATATATATATATTTACGATGTTTATACAGTATATACAGTGGACTTGACCAAAAGGACTGCAGCATACTTTTGAAAGCTGTGTACATAATGTGATTTTTTGTTGGCCGAACGACACTAAAAGAGATGCTAAAGAGGGAGGCCAATTAGGGCTGAGCGACTAATTGAAAAGTAATCAAAACCAACATTCAGAACCTCTAACTGATGTAATTTTGCCCATGTGGGTTATTTTGATTTTTTTTTAGTTCTGTTAATGCTTTCTCCACTCTGTGTGTTCATGAACTGTCCCCTTAAAAACTTACTACTGCGTGTGTGTTCACGTGACTCCACCACGTCCAGTCTGCTACATGGAAGCTAAGGCTACGTTCACACAGCAGATAAAAAGTGCCCCAAATCTAATTTTCTTACCATAAAAAGGGCTCGGTCACTTCTTTGGTTCGTGTCCTCAGATTCTTGTAACTTTGCTTTCAGACTTTTAACTGTTCTTTGACGCTGCAGCCTCGTTCTCCTACGGCTGCGTTCGGCCATTTCTTTCAAAATCTCTTCAAACACAGAGGTTTTTTGGATAATTCTCCAGTAAGTTTTGTACAGAAATATCACCCCAAATGGTTATTAGGTCTCAGCAGCGTGAAATTATGACGAATCTCGCGTTGGATTGACGTAAAAGCCGCGTGAATTCCGATCTGGCTGTTTACATTAAGATATGCAGAGCATATTTACCGTACAGACCTTGTCAGTTAACTGTAAAGGCAAAATAACAAACAAAAAAAAACACAAACAAATTAATTGTTTATTAATCATAAGCGAGGTAAAACATTTAATTAATCGTGATATTGATTTGAGGTCATATCGCCCAGCACTAAGGCCAATGGCTAGTCACAGTAAAAAGTCTCATCAAGTAGCTTTCTGACCAATGCTAAAAAAAAAAAGCAAAGTTCCTTCACTGCAAGGTGCAGTTGATTCTGTGCATTTTAGCTCATTTTCCCCACATTTTTTCCCTGTGATTAATGTTCATAAGTGTACTGACTGCAACATATTTAATAGATGTGTAATCATTTACAAAATTCAGAGCTTTGTTTGATACGATACGTCTTGATTCAATGCATTTTTCGATACAGCAAAAATAATGAGTGACAGAAAATATTTATTTGTAAACGTTTTCATTTTCATTTTATTAGAGTTTACAATAGATGCTTTATCCTGATGTGAAGCTTTAGTCACATGCTTATATGTTAGGCCCCAGCTAGGATGCTAGTCATAATTCAGTGATACAGTACGACACGCTGCAATGCAATTTGTTGCAGTCTAAACTGTATTGTTACATCCCTACTGTTTAAATAGGTTATAGTCCTAACCATTGATGGGGGGTGAAGATGGGGCTTACAAATTAGGTTGAGAAGCATATAGTGGAGGACATATGAATGGTCATTAATGATAGAATCCATGATCTGTTGTTCATGGAATTAAGCCAGTGACCTCAGTGGAAGACCAGTGGATGCTTTCTGGCATGCCTAGTCCGCAGGTGTGTGCATGTGGGCATTTTGGTGCACATGATATGCTTGTCAGGACTGTGGAATCTGGACATAAAATAATACTAGTTAATTGACTAATTTGAATTAAATAATATTCATAGTTATATCAAGTTTTTTTTTTCTTTTTTAAACCATAAAAACTCATTATTAATGAAAGCAAATTGTGGAATCCAAAATGTAACTGGATATATGTCCCTATACATACAGTGCCTGAAGCTTTAACCATAGATAACAGGAGTTAAACAAGCATTGTTAGTCGTATACTCTTTACTGATAGCTGATAGTGCTAAGTAAGGGGAAAATGTCTCAGGATATGTTGTTTTGTAAATGCAGACATTTCATTCATGAAACAGTGTACACACATATGGGTGCTCATCCGTCATAACACACACCCCGTGAGGATTTTGCAGGCATGCTCTGCTCTGCTTTATGTAGTGCATAATCCTGCTTCTTCTCATTGTTAATCTCTCTCATTTCTTTCACAGCATGGCAATGTGGAAGTGTTTGGACTATGTTAGTTTAAAACTAATTGTTTAAAACAAATGGTCGCTCACTTTCTTACATTATTTGTTGTGATTTACGTAATAAAGAAAGGTGAACTTGCTTTTTTTATTTTTGACATTGTTTTTATGATGGAGAACCTGCCTATATTGGTTAGAAAACAAATTCAAAGTACTTGATAGCCTTGTGTTTGTTTTTTAAATAATTTCACACAAAAGCACTAAAGAAATTATATATATAATATAACATTTAGATAAATCCACACTGTAATCCCTCTGAGATGCTTTCAGTTTATAGGCCTGTGTTTTTATGAAGTCTTTTCAGTAAAGTGTTATGTTTTATTGACCTATTTGGCCATCATGTTCTTTTTTGTATTCCTTTCTGGTCGGAGTAAGATTATGTAACACTTTGGGGCAAATATACACAGTAGGAGGCCGTAACTGGAGGCCAAGATGGCAAAGACCTCCACAGCCACAGTGTACTTCCCTGGAGAGCTGATGTATGCTGGCACAAAAGTGATCCACACTGCACAGAAGATCAGCATGCTGAAGGTGATGAATTTGGCCTCATTGAAATTATCTGGAAGCTTCCGGGCAAAGAAGGCCAGCAGGAAACAGATGGCAGCCAGCAGACCGATGTAGCCCAGCACCAGGGAGAAGCCTATGACTGAGCCTACTGCACAGAGTAGCACCACCCGGGCTCCAAGCTCACCTCCTGCACTTTCTGTGGGCAGAGGAGGTGCCAGCACCAGCCACAGCACACAGATTCCCACCTGCACCAGTGTACAGAAGAAGATACCTGCCCTCTGCTGAACAGGGCCAAAGTACTTCATTACATCTGAGCCAGGCAGAGTCGCCCTGAAGGCAAAAAGGACCACCACTGTCTTACTGAGAACACAGGCCAGGCACACCACAAAAGTGATCCCAAATAGTGTATGGCGCAGCATGCAGGACCAAGGCGCTGGTCGGCCAATGAAAGCCAGTGCACACAGGAAGCAGAGTTTGAGTGACAGCAGCAGCAGGAAGCTCAGCTCTGAGTTGTTGGCGCGGACCAGGGGTGTATCTCGATGATGGAAGAAGGCGATGAAGACAGTCCCTGTAAGTGTTGCTCCAGCTACTGACAGCACAGAGAGGATGATGCCCATGTTATCTTGAAAGGAGAGGAATTCAACTAACATTGGGATGCACTCTGTCCGGTCAGTGTTGGACCAGAACCGTTCTGGGCACTTAATGCACTCTGTGGAGTCTGGAGAGGAACACAGTAAAAAGATAAATTTTGATCATTTGTTTGAATCCTGTTTAACTTTTTCCAAGAAATTAAAATGGGAACCAAATGTAGATTAAATATAAAATTAGTGCTGGTGAACATATTGTTTAGAAAGAGATTGATGCAGGGTGAAGCTCAACTATTCTGTATTCAGCATGATTATACTGTACCAGTAGCATTGCTGATCTCCCCTGCTGCACATGGTATGCAGTCATAGCAGCAGACAGGCTTTCCTTTTTGCACAGCCTTCCGGGTTCCCAAGGGACAGCTCTCACTGCACACAGACACGGGCACCTGTGCAGAAATGTTTAGGGGAAAGGGGAAGAGGGAAACATGTTCTTTTCCTTATACATTAGCAACATATTAGATTTTCTTATTCTTATATATGTGTAAGTTGCATAAATATGCACTTACATGCTTGTAAAACAGCCTTTTACTTAACCCCGACTACATTAGGATGCTATTTCCCACCGAGTAATACATAGTAATACATAGGTTCTACAAATTCACACAAACTAGGAGTTTAGTATAAACCATTATTTTTGTTATATTGGTTGCTGTTTACCCTCTCCATGACCATCCATAGCACAGCTCTGTGTTTTTTTGTCTAAGAAAAACTGGATAAATACTGGGCAAGACCATTCTTACCTTGTCACCCCAGCCTCCTCCCCAGATCACTTTCTTTAGGTCTAACTGCAAGTCTTGGTCTGGTTCTCTTGCTGCATCAAACTGCCCCACTTTTACAAAATCTAATTTTCCTTCAGATCCTATATGCCAGTTAATGATGTCATATGAGGCGGGTGGATCCCCGTTTTTGTCAAAATAAACAAGGTCGCCCACTGGTGTTGTGAACGTTACTGCCTTTAGGTAGTGCAGGAGCTGACAACAGAATATAGTTACATAGCGTAACCTAAAAATTAATTAAACTCATGGAAATGCATTTTCTTTTTTTGTTACCTATGTATATATTTAAGTAGGAAAACAAAAAAAGTGTTTTGCCCTGTCTGTGGAGCTTTTCTTTACCTGTTCAGGATTTATTGGCTTGATATCAGGACACCTTCCACCCTTGAAGGGCCCTTTTCCAGGCTGACAGTCCAGCATGTCCTGAATAGCATTTGCAATAGCATACACAGCTTTATACACATTGTACATGCCATCAAACATGGCCTCCTGTACTTGTATCTGCATTTTCTCCAAGCCTGTGCATTGTGGTTGTGGAGGTTCTGACTGGATTTCCTCTCCAAATCTGCACCCAAACAGTTCCTCCCAAACGTTCTGTACCAGCTGCTCCTTTGGGAGCTCCTCTGGGCTCAGCTGCATTAGATAAGAGCTCAAACCTTTGACTTCAATGCTTCGTAGAGCTAAGCCAATGGTGCCTGCTAAGGAGTGGCCACTCCATAGAGAGAAGTAACCTGACGTGCTCCAGGCTGTTGTGGCAATCCACTGCCTATTTGTTACATTCTGCTTCACCACTTCCCTCAGCAAGACCTCCGTATCTGGGCCGATGGCAAAGATCACCACCACCTGAGGCTTGGAGATCTGTATTCTCTCTACAATTCGCCTGATCCTGCTTAGTGTGTAGGATTTGGGAATGACTTCTAAGTAGTCTATGCACACATCTGAGCCCTCCAATTCCTGCTGCAACAGCTGCACACTACTTTCCCCATAGGCGTCATCTCCATAGACAACTCCCACCCAGGACCAGCCCATGAGGCGTAGCAGGCGTGCCATGACTTTAGCTTGGAAGGCATTGCTGGGAACTGTGCGCAAGAAAGTGGGGAATCTTTTACGATCACTGAGACATGCACAGGAAGCATAGTAGCTGACCTGGTTGCAAAGAACACAGAGAATCATGAGAGCAGAGTCCTAGAAATCACATTTTATCAGTTAGTATTAATATCTTTTCCTTTTAACATCATTTTGTGGTAAATAGTGTATTGTTACAGATAATGTCATTGAATAAATTTAAGAAATAAACCCTTTACCATGGGGATACCAAAAACTCCCAGTGTATCAGCTACCACTATGGAAGCAGAGGAACGGGCATCACCAATAATGACAGGCACAGTGGGGGCCCTGGAACACTGTTCTCCAGAAATGGCCTCCTCCTGCCCCGACACTAGTGACAGTGCAGTACTCAGGGTGGTCCCCTCACTCAGGCAGGTGTCTGCTGCCAGGTAGCCGAGTGTGAAGTTGGGCAAAAGGACCGGGTCCCGATTGATTTCCTCCACAGTGAAGATCATGGTCTGAAGCCAGTGATATGAGCGTAGATCAACACTGAGACAGAGATTGAGATGTTTGTAGTAGTGTTTATGGTCAGGGGAAAACTTGGGTAAACTCAGCAAATAAAAGTGGAACAAAAGAGGAAAAAAAGGAAAATCTCACACATTTTTTGTGACATGTTAGAATCCATTATTCTCCACAATTGCAAAACTGTACAATTTCCCATAAGATAAAATATTTAAATACACATTTTTGACTCTTACACATATTTTGCCTTAAGAGAAGTCATACTGTACTCACCTTTGACAACGACCTGTTTGTCTTTGAATGAATACATAATCGGGTGCAGGAGCTATACTGTGAATGGGAAACAGACCTCCAAGAATCACATCTCCCTCCTTATACAGGCTCCCTGAGATGGACCCACTCTGAAGAGTACATGAGAGTCCCAGAGAGTGCACCCAGACAGGGCCCAGCCAAGAGTCCCAGTGCCCACAGCCATGCATCCACAGCCATTACCTGAAAAGAGAGGGAGAGAGAGAGAGAGACAGAGGGAGTGAAAAGAAGAGGAAAGCAGGACCTCACATATGCACAGAGAGAGAGGAGGACTCTGTTTAATAGAGGTAATTTTGCCGCGAGCGAAAAGCATTTGTGGTAATTGGGAAACTCCTGGTGGATCTAGAGCAATTTTCTGGCCCACAAAAAAACAACTAAATAAAGTGTTATTTAATATGCTCTAACGTCAAACAAGGGTTAGTGAACATAAACAACAGATTAATGCTGTTGTGTTCTTGGGGCCGTGGTCTTTGTTTCTTTATGTGTATACAGGGACATTCACTCAAAAGAGGCCCCGAATATTCTTTTGTAACTCCCATTAGGATGAAGCAGACTGAAGCAAAAAAATACGCTACATACCTTGCACTGCTCAATACTGTACACCACCATCCTGCTGAGAAGTTGAGTGAATGAGTGAAGGGGTACAGGGGTATGTACCCGGAAGTTGCAAACGGAAGTTCAGCTTGTTTCGTCCTAGCGAGGGTTATTACAGAATATTCGGGGCCTCTTTCGAGTGAATCTCCCTATAGAATATATGTATACGACAAATTGAAAGACAAACCATCATAAAGTGTTTGGAATGGTGTTGAGCCATCACAGGCTGCCAGAACAACTTCAGTAAGCCTTGCCTGTAGATTCTGTATGTGTCTGGAACTGTGCTGGAAGAGTGGTGTAGGTGTTCAGTTTGGCTATTAAGGCCATTCATGTACATCATTTTCAAACCATTCAGTGACCCCTCATGCCCTATGGATGGGGGAGTTGTTATCCTGAAAGATCTTATCCCACAGGAAAATAGGACAATTAAGCCAAATTAAAGAATCATGATGGCATCAATGTTAATTGTTGCATTTACAGTGTGTCTTTGAATGCACTGCATATTTAGAAGACTTTACATATATTTTGTATACCTTATAGAAGAAATACTGTTGACATTGTGTAAGTTTTATTAATATATGCAAGATGCTTTTTCACTGGTTCATAGGAACAGAACTTAACCATCTAGTAAACTAGGATGTGTTTTTGGTCAACAGTAACCCTTAATCTTTAAACAGCTGCTGATGGTTTTCCATTGTTTTTTTTTCACAACACAGCTAACTTAAATGGCTGTTTGGAGATAAGTTAGGTCCACATGTTAGACACGTATTACAACCATGCAGAATTACACTACTCACCACCATAAGTATACATTTTCTTGAAAAGCCAATGATATTTTTGAAACTAATTAGTTTAGTAATTAGTAAAAATAATTAGTTGAAGAGGTTGTTTGAGCATGTTAGTTATCGTAGGCTACAGCATCTCATACTTGTCTATTGATAGTGTTTCCCTGAACCTGTACTGAAGGAAGATTTTTGCCCTGAAATGTTATATTACTTTAGATGAATACAAGAAGAAATTTCTAATGGAGAAGACTTCCTCATCAGTAATGAAACGAGACGTGGCTCCGTCTGCATTTTTTATTCTTCCAGTTCTCATTAGGTCACTAGTAATCATGCATGAAACACATAAATAATTTAAGAGAGAGTTTCTAAGTGGTATTAAATTTAAGTGTGCATATTTTTATGCTTTATGAATTTGTGTGTTACGTTTTCTCTATGTAATGTTCACTTGGTGAATCACTGACAGTTTCTGTGATGAAATGAAACTTAAATTAACCACAATTAAAGAGATGTTACATCTCTGTTCAATACTGTACAATCCAAATATTTATCATACAAGAATACATACAACTTCCACTGTACAGTGCCCCAATGTTTTAGACACACACAGGTATCACCTCTTCCCAAGGGAAGTGTTTACATGTGAGCGTGCAGAGCAAGACACAGATACTGAGAAAGAGCTTTTTAAGTTTGTTTAGCAGTCCCTGATAATTATGGACTGTGCATAAAAACAATGCTAACAGTGAAAGTGAGGGGTGTCACTGAACATTAGTTGTTGCAGGCAATTCAGTCCTGAAATATCCAGATGTTGCATTGCAAGCAAGATACAGAAATGTGATGATGTGCAGTCAACATTTTACTTCTGAGAGCTGGTAAGAGGTATTAGAATAAATTCTACCTGGCAAAACGTGCTGCACCAAACCACTTCCCAAGACGCTGGTGTTAGCCTGTGGCTTTCTCTGAGCTGACTACTGCTTCCTGCTAGTTCCCTTGTATTTGGTGAAGTTTGTAACACTGTATTCTGGGTTAAACAGAACACAGTATTACAAACTCGTTACACTTTTGGATGAGTCTTGAAAGCTTAGCGAACATTACATAAGTTGTCGACCACATATTGTTCTTCTGGAATTCGGTCTGGGGCCGTAACAAGTTGGCAACTAGTGTGCTCCGGGTCTGCATGTATTTGTGTCCTTTTTTTACCTTTTGGGACATAAATCACCTGTTTTTGAGAACACCACCTCCCTGTTGAACAGCAGCATATGAGATACCCAAGGCCTCACTGGTAAACCACTGCCTGGCAGTCATGTTCCTAAGAGTTACTTCATTCATGAGCAGCAATAATTTGGCCTCAGTGAAATTCACTGCCACCATTTTGCTTCTGCAGGCTATAATTACATCCCTGCATTGTTATCTCCAGTGTTAGTGGTAACGTGGTACAGAGTAAAGTTACAGTAATGTTACAGTAAAGTTTGTAATATGTTTTACCTTTGATGAAATGGTGTAATAGGCAATATTAATTACATTTGATACATTTAAATCATAAATTTTTTCTACATTAATTATCTGTGTCTATGTATGTAATTTACATGCTAGATGCGACAGCTGACTGTGCAACTTTGATTGCGACTTTGTACTTATGACTAGCTCAGCCCAAATCTCCATAAACTCAATCTGTCAATCTGTCAAAGTATCTAATCCTGCTAATATGAAGCTGATGAATCAAGATTCACAGGCTAAAGAAGAGAGAGGGCCAACCTACATAGGCCAAACTGGGTTTGCGTTAAGGAACTGCTCTATATACAACCCTATTTCCAAAATAGTTGGGATGCTGTGCAGGATGTAAATAAAAATAGAATGCAATGATATGCAAATCATGTAAACCATATTTTTAAAAGAAAATACTACGAAGACAACATTTTTAATGTTGAAACTGAGAAATTTTATTGTTTTTTGAAAAATACATGCCCATTTTGAATTTGATGCCAACAACACGTTCCCAAAAAGTTGGTCATGTTTACCACTGTGTTTCATCACCTCTTCTTTTAACAACACTCTGTAAGCGTTTGGGAACTGAGGAGACACTGCTGTAGTTGTGAAAGTGAAATGTTTTCCCATTCTTGTTTGAAACAGGATTTCAGCTGCTTAACAGTTCGGGGTCTCTTTTGTTGTATTTTTAATTTCATAATGCACCAAATATTTCGGTGGGTGACAGATCTGGACTGCAGGCAGGCTAGTTTAGCACTCGGACTCTTGTAATACAGAGCAGTGCTGTTGTAATACATGCAGAATGTGGTTTTTGACATTGTCTTTTTGAAATAATCAAGGCCTTCCCTGAAAAAGATGTCGTGTGGATGGCAGCAGTTGTTGCCAAAACATGTATATATCGTTCAGCATTAATGGTGCCTTCACAGATGTGCATGTCATCCATGCCATGTGCACTAAGGCACCCCTATACCATCATGAATACTGGCTTTTGGACTGTACACTGATAACAAGCCGAGTGGTCTTTAGCCCGGAAGACACAGTGTCCTTGATTTCCAAAAAGAATTTCAAATGTTGATTTGTCAGACCACAGGACACTTTTCCACTTCACCTCAGTCCATTTTAAATGAGCTTGGGCCCAGAGAAGGTGGCAGCATTTCTGGATCCTGTTTATATATGGTTTCTTCTTTGCATTTTAGAGTTTTAACTTGCATTTGTGGAGGCTGCGACAAACTGTTTTAACAGACAGTGGTTTTCAGAAGTGTTTCTGAGCCCTACAGTAATTTCCTTTACAGAATGATGTCTTTTTTAATGCAGTGCCACCTGAGGGCCCAAAGATCACGGCCAGCAAATACCGGTTTATGGCCTTGTCCCTTGCATACAGAGATTTCTACAGATTCTCTGAATCTTTTAATGATGTTATGTTCCGTAGATGATGAAAAGCAGAAGTTCTTTGCTATTTTACATTGGGAAATGTTATTCTTGAATTGTTGCACTATTTGATTGTGCTGTCTTTCACAGAGTGGTGAACTCCTCATCTTTACTTGAAAGACTCAGCCTCTCTGGGATGCTTTTTTATACCCAATCATGTTACTGACCTGTTGGCAATTAACCACCAGGTGTTTTTTTTAGCATTACACATTTTACCAGCCTTTATTTGCCCCGGTCCCAACTTTTTTGGAATGTGTTGCTGGCATCAAATTCAATATGGGCAAATATTTTTTAAAAAACAAAAACATGTCTCACTTTCAACATTTGATGTGTTGTCTTTGTACTATTTTCAATAAAATATACGGTTAAAATGATTTGCACATCATTGCATTTTG